TTCTTTTTTTAGGGCCTGCGGCTTATCAGGTGGAATTCTTGCGGGGGTCGGGGAGTTAATTGATAATTATAAAAACCTGTGAGAAATACTTCGGTTACTCAATTAATGGACCCACTTTTGCAACAATTTAACTAGAAGCTGCAGGTACCATACTCTTTCTATATTCTTACTTACTGTTAAATCGCAACTTTAATTTATACACTTTTGTATTGCTTTACTGTTGATGTTTCTGAAATGGGGGCTGTGTGAAACAAAACAGGCAAAAAAAAGCTTATCTCAATTAACAACAAACGGAGCTGCGCCAGCGCCAACACGTGTTTGACCTGACACACGCATAAGAACTTTAATCCAACGTCTGATAAATGAACACAAGCATTCCTGTCGGTGTTGTCCGGCGCGGCGCCTCACTGCGCAATTAACTTTCCCGGGGGGGATTCCGCGTTACCGCCGGCCACAGAGTGTTCCACGGCCGACTGGAGGGGAACGTTTGTAGCTCTAGCTATTCAGCCGTGCGAAAATTGGTTTGTCGATTGGTTCGGGTTGGATTGAGTCGTCTTGGATCCGGGACGAGGAACAGGAGGAGGAGGAGGAGGAGGAGGAGGAGGAGGAGGAGGAGGAGGAGGAGGAGGAGGGGAGGAGGGGAGGAGGAGGAGGGGAGGAGGGGAGGAGGAGGAGGAGTTGTACTCTAAGGAGAGAGGGGATAGGCTACCTACCTGAACTGCATATACTTATCCATGCTGAACTCGTTTCGTACGTTTGTTGTGTTTAAGAGAGGAAAGGAAAGAAGGGAGGGAAAGGAAATGAGACTTATGGATGTATCGTGAGATTGACACGCGTCTAGATCCAATTAACGGCATCCGACATACAGTAAGACAATACCTTTATATTTTATGAAAGGAAGCTTTTCGTAACCCCCCCCCCCCCCCCCCTTTTTTTTCTTTTTCTAGAGAAAGATTATTAGCTATGACTCCATCTGAGTATAAAGAGTTCAAAATCATTCGCCTAGTTCGTAAACAGCAATTCAGTATATAGCAGTACATACCAAAGAAAAGATAGAAAAAGGGATATGTTCATGACGTACATAGTACTATTGCAATAAAAATATCATATCACAAGGCCTTAGGATAAATACATGTAAGTACACAAAAAATCAAGGTTAAGCAGGAAAATCATTTTGTACCTTTATGAAAGATAACCGATGCATTTCCACGCCCATGCCGATCGGGTAGTAAATAAGAGCACAGATCAATTACATAGTACCCTCTAAAATACTTGTAGCTATAGGTATATAGCTCTAGATCTAGCTATAAAAACATTAACATCCCGCGGAAGTGATCAATTAAGTACTCCAGCTGCAGCCCCCAATTATACGTATATGTATAGATATATGCCGAAGTCTCACGGCACATCAGATAATTATAAGGCCTAGGATCATATTCAACTAGAGTATACATACACGTACATGTACATGTACATACACCTTTACGTCCCCTCCCGCCCGACACATTCTTCTCCCGAGCCCATTTCTAACACTTTCCCATTATCTTCGATCCCTTTACATCCCTTTAATCCACAGGTCTTTGGTACGTGTACTCATCTAGTCTTAAGCTCTAACTGGAGCGCTTACGTTCACTTATTCTTTTTGTTAAAGAAAACAACAAGGAAAAAACATGCAAGATATGCTAGAACTAGCGAGGTTATGATCAGATATAGGATTGGCAGGATTAGGTTTAACATTTCCTTTCCAATTCTAATTTCATCAGGATACGTCCCTTGGCCACACACCTCCCTCTTAGTATTCTTTTCCTCAACAAAAAGTCGAGTGGACTTAATTAAACGCTCTACTAGTGATGGGCACGATAGTACGAGCCAAGCGGGCTTCGAGCCTGGGAATGTATTGCTAGTGATTGAAGAACGCTATATATAGCTGGGTGATCTATGCAAAAAAGTATATCCTCTGGTGTTCATCCTAATTATAATAGATATTTTATATACCGACTTACTGGGGGTGTTTTAGATGTAATCATGATCATGAGAGCCCGAGTCTAGGCTCGAGCCTTTACCTCCACAATTCGAGCCAACATACGAAAGATACACTTGTGACAGGGCTACTTATAGCTATGCTACGTACAGGTCACAGCAATACGCGTACACAACTTTACCAAAATAATCGACTAATAACTCACGACTCAGCATCCAAGCTAGCCACTCGAGTACTACCTAATCTGGCGCAACATGGTGATCTTCAATTATCTATATTAATTGAAGACAGATCGTCGATCCTATTCAGATACACCCCACCTCAGGGCATCGACCCTGCATGTAAGCTCCCGCTCCCGGTGATCATGAGCTGATCAGATCTACTCATCTTAGACCCAACACCCGCCTATCTTAACCCGACACCCGCCTGCGCGTAGAATTTCCCAAGATACTAGGAACATGAAGGATCGGTGGGCCAGAATTCACGCATGAGGCCATATGCTGTTCTAATACTCGGGCCTGTGGTCGCCGTGGCAAAGCTTCCCCAGCTCTGAGTTCGATAGCTGACGATCACACAACCCGAGATCGAATCTCAACTACGTACACGTGGTATAGATTACAACCCGAAGGTAAGTACCCACGTCTCTCGCCCGCCCCTGCAGCTGCTGCTCTAGCCCACATACCAGAGGAGTCACCGACAGCAACGGTTTGTCGTTGCAATTGTTGTCAACGACCCGCGGCTGCTAATCATGGACCATCACTCGATCCCGCCAACGACACGACGTCCACTATAACCAGATCTCCGAATTTAGCTAAATACAGGTTATATAGCGTCCACGATGTGGGAGTATCTGTTGTCTTCCCCTTATTTTATCGACACATCGGTAGTGGATGTTGGAGCCTGGCAACCAGTGGTGTTCCCCCAGCATACTCTACGGAGATAGATCCCCGATCCACATTCCGTTAACAGACAGAACAGCCAGAGACAAGAAATACACAGGCTCGCTCCATGTAGAAGCACGCCGGGGTGGGAGTTTTTATCCCTCAATAAGCGGGGATAGGTGGCTGAGGTATGGTTGGAGAGAAGGATGGTTGGAACTTTGTCTAGCGGACAAGCAGTATGATTGAAGTGAGCTACATGTATGTGTACGTGCATATAGCTAGCTAGCTAGTCCCTCCTCTATACATGTATGTTCCTACCAGGCGCCGGCCAGAAAATAGTGATGCACACAACACAAAACAAGACGAGACTTCCATTGATCTCATCTCGCCCTGCATCTGGGAAGAGCGGGTCCTGTGGTTAAAGGGACCTAGGGTAGGTATTGCGCAAAGTCTTGAGACCGCCACTCGAGCACTAGAGGCCTTGTAGTATATCAGATTAAAACCAGAATTGGGGTTAGGGTTTGAATGAATTCTTGAATTTATACACGTATTGATCTACGTATCAGACCCTCCGCCTGGAAAATGCTCCATTTTTCAACGTTTTACGATGTTTCGAGACGTCTCGAGACTGCCTTGATTGGTCTCGAGACTAATTGTCTTGCCCACTTACAGGTCTTGTCTTCTCTCATATCGTCTAAGAAAACAAAGTCTCGAGACTTTTTGTCTCGTGTGCATCACTACCAGACAAGCCCGTAATACTGTTCAAAGCCGTTATGACTAGTTTATCATCCGAGTTTTTCTTTATTCCTTGGTGCTAATCATGAAGCAGCTGCTCACACGTACCGTTTATAGATTCTATCAATCTCAATTAAATTGCTCATATTTATCTTAGCTATAGTCGAAACGGGGAATCTCGAGCCCCGCGATATATATATCAAACTTACCCGACCACAGCCACGAAACCAACCTGCCCTGCCCGACACGACAACATTCCACCCACCCGCCTTCTCTGCTTAATTCCTGAGACCAAATGGAAGCTGAATAACTCCGCCTTTGAATTCAGCTGACGGGCAATGGCAAGTATAGGAGGGATATTACCAATCCGCAACGACGTCCTCTAACCTGTCAGCTTATCTTCCCACGTGCACTGCGGTTACGAAGGGCCGTCTCCATAACTTTCCGCGGGGAGGTAAATTAACGCTGCAGTGGACCAAGGTCGCCACCATTGTTACCACGTCCTGCACCTAGGCTTGACCTGCATATGTGTATCGTGCGCAGCTAGATGAGGTCACGAGTGCATCTTTAATATCTACATCTTGGTCAGGGCGGTTATGTTATTCTCTGAAGACATAAGCTGCATAGACGCGCGCTGGTGAGCATTACATATAATGGGTCGAGCATGTCTAATTTTCAGTGTGTTATCACCATCATCACGTGCATGTGAAACCAGGTGATGTTAGGAACATTACGGCATTAGACGTTCATTCGCAAGACCCCCAGGTATCGAAATGTTTTTTAGAACATCTGTGAAGAAGATACGTGACCACCAGAGTACCTACACGAAGTTTTGGCCTCGCGGCAGAACGAGGCTCCAGAGTGCTTCAAACATGGTGGTCACGTGATGTGGTTGCGCTCAATTGGATTTTCGAAACGCAATTAATTTCCAGTCCTTGATGTTTCTATGCGCGAGTGTATTTTAACTCCTGGAATGGGAAGCGTAGGAACTTCCACAAAAAAAGAATCGTCCCATATTTCTCGTCTCATTCAGATCAGATACAGTCGCGGCGCAGTAAGCTGGCCTGCAGATTAGCGTTGGTCACAGTTAATCACTCGGTGGCAGTGAAGTCTTGGTAATGATTGTTTGCTCCACCACCGCCGTGAGAGCTGAGTGGAACACAGTTAGTTATGCGACGCGATCATTACCCACTGGGCCATCTCCGCGACTTCTTCAGGCTATAAGTATCAGATGCCCCGAGCATTGAGCTCCCTCTCTCTCCCCTTTCACCACCACCGCCATTTGTTTGCTTTTCCGTTAATCGGCACCATTAGCTGCTGTTTTATCCCAAATCGTTAATTGTAATAGCTACTCCAATTCTCAATTCCCGGTTCTACGACTTTACACTTCAACAGCAATAACAATGAAGTCCTTCACCGTCGCGTCTGCCCTCCTCTTCGCAGCAGCAGCCCTCACCGGCACCTCGCCCTCCCGAACCCCCGGACCGAACCGGCCGCCTGCCCCACAGCCACAGCCACAGTCACAACCACAATCACAACCACAGTCTCCCCCGCCGCCTCCGCCACCATCCTCCCCATCCTCGAAACCTCCCCTCCCCTCCCCTCCCCCTCGCCGACTACCAAGAACCCATCACCCTCTCCAACAACACCGACGCCCTCCTCGCCGCCCCCCTCGTCATGACCGTCGACTCCACCCGCCCCGACACCCCCCTCCCGCGCTACAAGCAGATCGGGCCGGACGTCTACATCTCCATCCCGTTCACCGCCGCCCACGCCGGCCGCAAGTGCCGCTTCCACTTCGCCTTCTCGTCGCTCGCCGACGGCGGCAACTACGAGGGCGCGGAGGAGATCTATGCGCTCGAGGGCGGCAGCGTCGTCGACGAGACGCTCACGTACAATAAGCAGCCCGTGTTGGAGGGCGCGCCGGTAGCGAGCTTTTTGATGGACGACTGGACGGTGGCGGGGCGTGCGGAGCTGTACAGGGCGGAGAAGAGGGCCGATTTTGTGTGTCCGGGTGTGCCGACGGGGTTTGCGGTGAGGGGCAGGGATGGCGCGGTGGCGAATCGGAGTTGGAATAAGGGCGCTGTTGTGGAGGTGTTGGGGAAGAGCGGGTGGTGGGATGATGGCAAGGGGGGGGGGGGTGTACTAGAGGTAGGTGCCGATGTCGGGGTGGGAAGATCGATGGGTGGGGTTTTAGAGGTTTTTTATAGATTGGTTTGGGTTTTAGATTGGACTGCTGGCTTGGAGTAGTAGTGGTGTAGAGTATGTAGTACGATAATTAATTCTTTGTCGCATGATATCGAGTATAGCCATCCAGGCCTGCCAGGAAACTCCGTGATAGAACTATGTCCCGAACATGAACACATTCAGCAGAATAAACTTCTAATAGACGAAACGCCACAAACCCATCAAACGTAACCCATTCAGTACAGCCCAAGCACCAAGCAGTCAATATACGCATATATCTCCTCCGAATTCTGCCCAGAATTACCCCCCCCCCCCCCCCCCCAAACCCCCAGACAAGCTCACGCCAGTACAGCACCCCAACATCAATCGAAAGGGCCACCACTAGCTCTGATTCCCCGAACACATCGTTCCGAAACGTCAAATACCATGACATTGCAATTAAACATCCGCTGATCGCCAATCTTTAACGCATAAGCAATCTCCCCCGGCCCCCCGCGCTTTGGATCCGACTGAGCATGAGGGTATGATATGGTTACGCAGTCCAGTACTAACCTATACGCGCACCTTTACTCTATCCAGTAAACTCCCCGAATTCGCTTTTTTTGAGTTTGTCTTGAGGCGGGGGGCGGCGGTGTGGTGGTGTGGGCGGCAAATAATTTAAAAGCTGACTACATACCGAGCCGTAGAGGGTAGTAGTAATGTTTGTACCACCCCGCTAGCCATTTCGGGACGCTCAAAGTAACAAAGCCAAATAATGTGCTCCCAATCGAGTAGCAGTACAATTAGTAGTCTGGCAGGGGGTTCGAACCTACTAATTGTACCCTACGGTACGGTGCGTACATCATCAACTGCGAAAAACATGTGAGACGAAAACGCGGCCAGGTGGTAAATTACATAGTACATGAAGTAGTAGAAGTACATACAAGAGAAAAAAAAAACCCGCCTCGTAAGATCGTGATCATAGCTAGTATTCTAGTACTCCGACGTTGACGCTACTGTTTTTCCCCAGCAAAAAAAAAAAAAAAACAAAGGAATGAAGCTCCTATGCCCCGTGGACAATCGCCGTGTCCAGAGGCACGAAAAAGATAGTTTCCCAAAAAAACCGATGCATGTACCGATGAAAAAAAAAAAGTAAAAAAATCTGCACCACCACTATCGCTAGTATAGTGAAGCTCAAAAATGTCCCCCAAAAATATCGACAAGAAAAAGATTCCGTCATATGCCAACAACAAAACAAAACTATAAAAAAAAAATGAAACAGAAGAAAATAACGTTATGCTATAAACATTTTCTTGGGCGCACCACAATTCTTTGTCAACACATAAATAAATTCTCTAATCCAGAAACTTGCAAAAAAGTTGAAAAAAAGAAGAAAAAGAGAGAAAGAAAAAAAAGAGTGTATGGTGAAATAAATCAGGTAAGTTTCGTATGTCGTAATCATCAAAAGGCAAACGCTCCATCCCAAATGCATATAATAAAACAAGGCGTACAAGTCGTAAATAAAGGTCGTAATATCCATAATTCGTGGTGAAGCATTGACTCGTAAAATCAATAATCAGTAACCGCGATTTTCACTACCCTACTAGGCGCCGATTTAGTAAAAGTCCTAAACAATACTCCTTTAGAATGATTGACTCACCCTCCATCCTCCAATATTTGTCTCCACTGGCATTCGGCTCTGGTATCCCGAGTGCTGCTGTCTCCAGCGATGGTCCATCAAATTTCCGCTGATAGAGGGTCTACGGGCGGCATAGGTAGTTTCAGTCCCTACTCTGGTGCTCTCCGTTCCCACTCTACTAATCTCCGTCCCAAGCCTGCTTTCCGTCCCTAATCTACTCTCTGTCCCAATCCTGCTCTCTGTTCCTATCCTGCTCGCACGATCGATTGTCGAGACGGGAGAATGAGATGCATACTCTGGAGAAAAGTCCTCCTCTCTTCGTCGTCTTGGAATCCGTTCGGTGCGAGAGCGTCGGAGCTCCGGGACACCGGGGGTGAAAGCCCGGGGTTCATGCGGAGATGGAAGAGGTGGCCCAGGGGCGACTGGTTCAGGATCCTCCAGATTAATTCCACGAAGGTATTGTTCGATATTTGCGTGTTGTGCCCCACTCAAGTATCGGCTTGGGTTGATAGATTCCCGTCGTCGGGATCTCTGGGAAGGCTGCTCCCGAGTCTCGGGAGCGGTCTCTGTGCGAGTGACTCTAGGACGGTGAGGCGTTCTACTCCGCTCTTCAAGCTCCTCGACCTCCTGTATGAGATTGGATATGTTTTCTCGAATCTCCTCCCGACTTCGTGTGCGGGGCGTGATTCTGGCAACTGACTCGACTCTCCTCCTTTCCAACCTTGGTTGCGGTGTTCCGCGAGGCTGTGGGGTCCCGCGAGGTTGTGGAGTTGTGCGTGTAGCTGTCTCGACATAATCAGCGGCGATTCGCCGAATCCCGTTCCTCAAACCGGATCCGATGGTACCCAACGCTGCGAGAGGATCAATTTGGATTGGGCTCGGAAGATAATATTCATCATCTCCATGAAGTCCTGGCGACAGTGAGCCTTCTTGTTGAGCCAATTGTCTAGCAAGCTCTTCATCTTGACGAAGCTGTTCAGCACGAGCCCTGGCTCTTTGTTCTCGTCGTTCAGCAACATTGGCTGGAATTGCAGCTGCACCCTCTTCGGCATTCCATACAGGGACAACGTATTCTTCGTCATCGTCAGGCTCGTAATTAAACCAAGGGCATTTACAGGTCTTCCATTTATCTCCGCAAACGTAGCAAAACTCGGCGGTGCAGCGACAACTATGTGATTTTATCAGTACTTCAGATTCCTTAGATATATTGAGGTTTACTCACGTCATATGATTGCATCCCCTTTCCAGTTCCACCATTGCCCTGCAGCTATAGCATCTCTGGAACTTGTTTTTCTTCGCTATTTCGATAAATCTCATTAAATCCTCATCCTTAGGACATTCCCCATCGCCATGAGCTTTCCCATTACACATTGCGCAAACCTTCGTTCTGCACTGAGAGCATTTCCCGACATTATTGTGTATCTCCTTCGGTTGTATCCATTCACCACAATTTGGCTTCGGGCAATAAATACGATTTGACGATGTGTATTCAATGTATTTTTTGTTCCAAAGCTTCTTTGTCTCATAGTTGAGAAGTTTATCAACATGCTTCAAGGGAACATGTTCGTCTGTGCAGCACTTGGGAGGCATATGTGCGGGATCGGTCAAAGAGAGTATGAATATCCGTTTCAAACATTCATTGCACCAGTAGTGTCCACAGGAAAGCTTCGCTGCTTCTCTTACCGGTACATCATCGGAGAGGCAGGTAACGCACTCAACACTAGTTTTTATAGGTTAATTAGCCGATTGGTATAGAATGGATAGGATAGACCCACAGCTTTTCTGGCCTTTTCTCGATAACAAAACCTAGCACGGGTTTCACTTTAGTACCGGCAGCAGCAGCTTGTACAGCTTCCTTCACCCTCTCTTTCGCTTCGATGATGGTTTCGTCTTCGCTTTCCGGCTCCACCCTTCTTCTTGAGCTCTTTTTTACAGTTTCCGTCCGAACTGCTTCACGGACCTTTGGTGGTGGTACAATTGTAATATTTTCCAATTTCTCTTTTTTTTCTCGCTTTCGCAAACATCGTATACAATTTGCGCGAGCTTCGGGAGTCGAGTGATCATGGTGATCTCGGTGGCGATGTTTTTCTTTTGAAGATTCCTTTGGTGCTTCAATGGCCATCGGTCCCCCATGAAGTCTTTCTTGGGACTTTTCTTGGGGTCTCTCTTGAGGTCTTTCATGGGACCTTTCGTGAGGTCGTTCCTGGGGTCGTTCATGGGATCTTTCATGGGATCTGTCGTGAGATCTTTCATGAGACCGCATTAGAACTGTACTCTTGCTCCTTTTGATAGTCAATCTAGGTCGAGCATCGCTAGGTCGTCTGGAGATAAGCGATTTCGATCTACTGTGATTGGATGAAAAGATTAAATCACGGCTTCCATAAAAAACCAACGCACAGATGGTAGATAAACAAGTGGTCAAAAAAATGGTAAACAAACCCAATTCCACTAATGAACTGCTCAACTGATATCTTTGGCATTGTTTTCTCTTTGGTCCCCACAACGCTTTTCTTCTCCTCTTTCCGCTCCCGTCGTTCCTGCTTCTCTCGCTTTCGCTCTGCCCGCTCCGCTTCCTCCTGGGCTTCCCTAGCTTTTCTTTCTTCCCTCTCAGCTCTACGCTTCCTCCGCGCCTCTCTCCTCTGCTCTCGATCTTCATGTTCGGAGTCCTCATGCTTACGCACAGACTTCTCCTTTTCTTTTTCCCTTTCCCTTTCCTTATCTTTCTTTTCCGACTTTGATTTTTTTTTCTCCTTTGACGAAGCTGCAAGCATGGTGCCAGCCATATCCCTATCCCAGGGTCTCCCCCTTCCCTCTGGAGACTCCTCCTCCTCCCCTTCGGAATCAGTAAAATATGCGGCCGCCTCGAGCGATACCGTGCTGTCAGTATGCACCGAAAATCTAGGCGACGCCCGTCTCGGGAGATACGACGAGGACGATTCGACTTCGTTATTGATGAACAGCAGTTGTGCGGCGGGTCCGTGATTATGGTCGAGGGAAGAAACGTCGGAGAGATAACCTCCGCTGCTGGTGTTGTTGTCGCTGTCAAGCACACCACCAATCCCAGCATCAGAACTACTTCTCCTCAGGAAGTACTCGAGCTCGAATTGCGCGAGGTGTTCGGGCTGCAATACGCTGCCTAGGTCACGAATAACCCTTTTAGCGGAATCGCAGAAGGCATCCAGCTCACAGCTCCACTTGGGCCACTGCCAACCGCCTGCGGTGTGGTCTGAAAACGTGGTGGTTGACGAGTGGGAACCGTTGGATAAATAAACGGAGGGTGACAGGGGGGAGTGCTGAAGCAAATGATTCGACATGTTCTGAGACAACTATGAAGGGGTTAAAATCACCAATGCTATTTGATATAGGACCGGCCCAGAGATACGCACTATTGGGTAGAAATTGAGTCAAAAGAGTGTCACAAAAAAAAGGTTTGAGAAGGAAGAAAAACCCACCACTTGCTCCAGGCTTTGAAATCGGGATTTTGCTTTCTATTCCGATAGTCCAGATTTGTTTGATTTTTCTTTCTCTGTCTCTACTCCTCTCCTCCCCCTTATTGATCTCAAGCTTATGAGACTTGTTTGATACAGAGTTCCTATGCGTGGAGTAGATGTCGGTATTGCTGGGATAACTATGGATCAGAGAGATAGTATTGGAGGTGAAGATAACTGCTGCTTCTCCGCTTCACTCAAACAATGGCCGCCCTCCATCACAGCGGATGGACGTATGGTTATTCTTATTGTTGCGATACATGAGCGAACAACAAGACGAGGTTGAAGCTGACCCTGAGAAAAACAGCACACGCTGAGTTGGCCTGCATGCGGAAGAGTGGCGGCAGGGGTGGGCACCAGTAATAACCTCGTTAAGATACCTAAGAAGGCTTCAACTGAGGTGCCGTATTTCCTAGGTGACGATGAGCATGTATGTGCCATACCGTAGCTGCCGCTGATACTCTACTCTAGCCATATTCGCTTCGTCAGGAAAGCTTTGGAAACAATTGACTACATATAGTTTATTAGCAATGACGATCTGCCCCCACGTTAGAGATGGACAGCAGAATAGATCAATGAAACCGTTTCACGGAAGAAAGAAGGGTCCTCGGCTTCGATCATGACAAGACCATTTATGTCTTGCATTGAAATTGCTGAGGGTCTTACTTCTAGTCTTGTTTAACTCTCCGACTAAATAAATATCTCAAGATCCCCCGGCACTAAGCAAATGACAAGATATCCAACTTATTTCGGCTTTCATGAGCTAGTACATGTATCAGAAGTTGTCATTTGAGTTTCGGTTTTCTGTGAGGAAGAGACTAGAAACGTTTAAAGTGACTAGATCATAACTCCGAACGAGTGGAGATATAACATCATACCACTAACAATTCCAGATACTCTACGTGGGAGGGCCTTTCACGCGGCACTTTAGAGTTAGAGTAGGAACGAAGTTTATTCTTTCCTTTTTCGTATCTCTGGCCTTGTATGGATAGTAGAGTAGAGCTAGAGTAGGTACCTACTTTAAAACGAGGCTCAATATCCATCTGGACGGTAAGACTTTGCTTTTTTAGAAATGAAGCGAAATAGTCCAGTATCAAGTTAGTCGAATCTTCACACGAGGGGGCAGTGTAGAGTAGGTACATTGAGATCTTTAATCCGTTGCTCCTCTGTTGTCGCAGTCTGATACCTACCTGCACGGATATCATGCTCAAGCTCATCATCGTACGTCCAAAATCATACCGTTGTGATGGACTATCATCAAACCCGGTACCGCTGCCCAATCGGTTCCTCGGTCGCCAAAAGAGAAAAGGTACAGCGCTACTGGAGCCACATCATCGGTTGCGGTTCGGCCCCGCAGCGCAGCAAGACTTTTCTTTCTGCCCAGTCAGTTAGTCGTTTAAGAAGAGACGGCAAAGACATACCGTCTTTTATTTAGCGGCGCTTCTTTTGTTTTCTATCTATCGGTAGTTTCTAGGATATCCACGTTATTCCATTTCTTTATTGCTAATGTAGCTACCTGCTCTAGCTATAATAGAGATGTAATTAGCGAGGTGTTAGCATGCAACTACCCGCTGTTCGCTGGGTTGCTCTAGGTATATCCACCTTGCCAGCGGAAATCCTCATGCATGGTTTCGGGTGGTAGAAACCTAGGAGGCCTATGTTTACATGTAGTTGTGACATCCCTTCCTTGGCAATGATCGAGTGACGGATCATGAAACCCACTTTTACACTCTCCTTCAGAGTACTCTGGATGAACGCCTGCAGCTGAGATGCACTTCCCCACGTTCGTACGTCCGCGATCGATCTAGAGGCAATGTAATGAGCGCGGTACCATCGATGCCGCCGCTGTCTCTCAAGCAGTGATGAGGTGAAGTAATATAATCAATCCCTCCCCGAGATGTCCGATTTCTCGGGACAGCGGTTATTCCCATGACGACATTCAAGCAGGAGAAGTTTATTTTCTCCCGAAGAGCAGAAATAAACGTACTCCTTCCCCATTATGTTATAACGATTCCTCGGGCCGTGCAACAACTAGCTGCCTTCTCACAGGCCGACTCTTTTCTCTTTGTGGACAAGGATACTTCTGCCTGAGCTTGCACATAGCGGGCCGAAAGACAAGTAAGACATGTCATGAAAGAGTACTTACAGTGAAGTGTAGATCTGTAAATCATTTCCATGGTTGAACCTTGTAGAGCAGAAGATGAAAGCTGGGTGAGTTTTATGCGTATGCGGCATATGCAAAATGGCGTTAATCATTCAATATGACATTGATATATTGTGAAACATCAGACAGAGTAATAATTTACGGTTGAATAGAGCTATCAATCTGCTCTCGGGTCGTATCTATTGGATCGAGATACAAATCTAGCAAGCCAATTCTGAAACAGCTCATGGAAACGGAGATGGAATTGAGAACAACAGGTTTTTCCTTTGCTTCGAAGAGAATCGAGGGCTTCCGTATACGTGTATTCTAGGGAATCGAGAAGTGCAGTTCCCAATCAAAGGTCAGTGACAGGCTTGCCCAACCAACTTCTTGCTCAAGCAACCAGCCAATAAGTTAACTACCGTTCTTTACCTGACCACTTTCTTACAGCTTCCAGAGTTACAATCTTCACGGGACAGATAACCGTCAAGAGCTCCCACCAGAAATTCTTCCAATCGGAGATATACCGGTAAAAACCAAAAGAAAGATCCGCAGCATGGGGTGTAGATTAACTGTGATGCAGGGACGCAGTCTGATTGATAAGCTAAGGAAGATTCCTCCGATAGGACAGAATCCGTGTTGTCAGAATTCGAAGGTCCGAGCTGTTGACAGGACCGCGGTGGGCCAATTAGGCTTTTTTAGTCGATTCATGAGATACCACTCTTTTTCTGCATTCGCGTCCGAAATTTAGAAGTTTGTCTTGATGGGTAGTTTGAGGCATGTAGACGTTACTTGGGAGACGAAAATTGAGACGGCGTCAATGCAACGCCCAACGGAGTATCTATGCCGAAGCCGCACTAACGCAGGACGCGCATTGGTGCCGACATAATCAGATGGTACGCGCAGCAGACAACACATCTCATGAACACTGCATCAAGAATGAACTTTAGTGCCGTACAGCTGGAAACCCAGTAGTCTTCAAGATGAAATTGGAAATTCCATCACGAAGGGATACTGATTATAGTCGTATGACAATCACTCAAATCTTATATGCGCATGCTAGACAAAGATATGTCGTATTAACTTACCTTTACAGGATCTCCAGAAGCCTCGAACTTCTTAAGTATATTTACTCTGCAGCCTAGACAATAACATAGTGTCTCTTCTGTTGATACTGACATTTTAAAACTCTTTCGAAGGTAGAATCAACTGCATAGCTAATTCAAAGATTGACATCGTAAATATGGAAACTACATCTGCCAGTGGAACTTAGTAAAGATCGATGTGAGGAACAAGAAGGTATGAAGTCTGATACTATGAGTGATAAAGGTCACCGGTAGTCGGTTAGTATAGAGATAATGATAATATATGTTGTGGAAAAGTGTAGTCTGTGAGGCACAACCGTACTCTAAGATAAATCCTCCTACTCTCCTTGTGTTTTCGAGGTGAGAGCACGTACGTACATGGCCGATATATGCCCCCGCAAATCTATCTCAGCTGATCAGGTACATGCATTCGATCATGTGTCTTATTTATTTGAGCACAATTAAGGTTAATTAAGCCTGATTGGCAGTTACATGTACTGGAGCGGTGCGAATTCGAAGATATAATTTCCTAATAGTTCTACTAATAAACATAAGCGGTAACACTGCCTCGAGTGCTTATTTCGATCTCTGAGACAGGAGGAACCAATAGAAAAAAATATGATTACATACTTTACAGGATCATCTCATGCCGTCTAGACAGCAATGCATTCTTTGAAAAGTTTGTAGCGACGTGCTTTAGATTCCTTAAATTTCTTAAGTCGCGCGATCGCACTCACTCTTGAAGATAATTATATAAGTGTTTCGTTTCACAATGTAGTCACAAATGACTGGCTTCTAGCACGCATGACTGATGATGGGGAAATAGTATTGTGAGAGCTAAAATTTATGCTCAATATTGATAATACCGAACACTTATATAAGTGGAGAATTGTTACGTGTAGTTCACTTTTGTCCAAACCAACCTTGCTCACGTTCTGACAATTCACAATCGATCACTCGTTCAATACAAATGTTCTTGGCGCCGTCGAATGCAGCCACAAGGTTCATAAATTACATGTAAATCCAGTTCTTTCACCGCTATCTGAACTTTGGTATTTAATGAAGTGCAGTTTCCCTGTCGCCCATCACCGATAGCAGACGCAGTCAGCCCCGGTTGATTGCACTTCATGGTACGTAGGAAAAAGTAAGCGAGCGAGTCTGCAGTCAGCGCATAAGATTATCTCGACTCCATATACATACATGTACTCTACTCTACATTCTTAAATGTATTTTGTTTTTCTACGTCTGAGGTTGCGTTGGACTTGAGTCTTTTTCGATCTTGCGATGTCAGACTTCAGTCTCATATCAGACTGCACAGACACAAGGTGGATTAGTCGTTGAAGAAAAGTAAAGTAGTAGCTTATTACCTAAGTATGGCTGGTCTAGAGATGTTTAGCTTTGATAATTCGTTTATTTGAGGAAGCTGGATGCGAAACGAAAGATCACCGCCAACTCATACGCGCCACAGAGGCTCAGGATTGCTTGGCGGGCTGGAGGATCAAGATCGCAATCCATCGGGATAAACTCAGCCGCGGAACAACAACCTTCTCACCTGTCAAGTATCACGAAAAGACCTTTAATCTGACCTCAACTCTCCCCCTCACACGTCCCACACGGCGAGATCTCGTATCTCTTCGCTTCGTCTATTTAAGGGAATTCCTTGACAAACGCGTGGACCCTCGCGGTAAGCCCATTTTCCCCGCCAAGAAATACCTTCCCAGAAAAAACACTTTTGGCCCCCTTTGTCTCATAGAACCTCCATTTGTAGCGCCTGGAAGGAGTGGCAGCGAGGGGGAGCTGAGAGCAAGAAAGGGTCTTCCATTTATTATCTTTCCATCTGCTGTTCTATCTATCCTCCTTCTTCTTCATGCGTTCTTCCCTTCCTTTCTTTTACGTGCATGCTACTTATCCTTCGCTGGCTGATCCACTCCTTCCCCCCTTCTCTTCTCCCTTTGCTGTGCTTCTTCTTCTTCAATCACCTTTCTTTATACAAACACATTCATCATCCATCGTCAATCAATTAATCAAACAATCACTTACGTAGTAGCAGCCGATCGATCAGCTTGTCCAATAATACCAAAACACCTGCAGCCAAGTATCACCGGCACCGGTGAACCTGTAGAGCATGGCTCCCAGAGCAGCTCCCGACGACGACGGCGACAACACCAGTGAAACTAGAGTCCAACCACCATATGGTGCCACTCATCCACCAAATCTATTCCACCATGAGGTTGAGGGAATGCCGATATGGGGCATTATAGTAATCGTTGCTCTCATCATCTTATTGCTTGCATTGATTTCCTACATTGTTAGTGCCCCTATCTCCTGTGTTTGTATCTTTACCTTAATATCTATACTTTTAATCTTGCACCCTTTCTCGAATTGGCCGAGGGTGGTACTACAATGATATTGAGTGTGGCTGGTATTAACTTACAACTATGATAGGTCTACACACAGCTTCGAGCTCGCCGCCTTGGCCTCCCGGCCCCTAGCTGGCGAACATACGTCCCCTTCATGAAGAATAACAAGCGTTCGGCCCCATCCTCCTATGAGCCTGCTCGTGAAGGTGCCGGCTTTGTCGGTGCAGTTAAGGGCGTTTTCGGAGGTGGAAACACCGGCTACTCCGGCGCTGGAACCCGTTCCGCGCGGACCCGCGGGGCTTTTGACCCAGATCAAGCCTGGGATTCCCGCATGGACGAAGATGACATCTCGTACACTGGTGGCGGATACGGCCAACGCTCGACCCCCGACAGCAGGGGTCGCTATGGCGAGGCGCATCAGATGCAGGAGCATCGCGGGCATGAGGAGCCGGAGAGAGGCCGGAGCCGAAGCAGGGAGCCTCCGAGAAGAAGTGTACCGCCACCATATCCCACTGATGATGCGACAAACCCGTTTGAGGGAGATATCAGGAGACCCGAAAGCGAAGGATTCGTCGGAAACAATGTGAGGGGTGGACGGCCAAGCGTTGAGAGCGAGAGGAGGAGTGTGTTCAGGGAGAGCATCACCTAAATGCCTGGGGCATGATTGGGTAGGATTAGGAAGGACCGGGCGGGGTCTCGGAATTTGTTTGTTTGTTTTCGGAGGAATTGCGTTGATGCATCAGGGCGTGCTTGGTGAATACTAGTCCTAACAGAAAATTATCGTCTTTTCTATCTCTTTCTATCAATCATTTCCTTTACTTTTAAGGATCAGCGGGAGCTAGATACCAGGATGGGGTTTTCAATTTGGTTTACTATTTTTATTTTGCGTAGCGTGGGATAGGTTCATTTGTACTTCAACAAGTAAACTCGTCTCCCGATTACTAAGGCTTGGCTCGGCTTGTTTAAAGTAATGTTTTATTCGTCTTTTATTTTATACTCTGGTTCCCAAGGGGTGTGAATACACACCAATACTGTGCAATTTTTTTTCTTTTGTGTTTTTTTTGCTCTACCATATATTTACTTAAATCGTATTGTGACCTTTTTTTTTCTTTCTGCCTAAGTAAATGCAAGTTCTTTTACGAAAACAGAGGATTCCAATTGGGCACTACTATTTCAGAAGTACGTACATATTGCTAGTCTAGTTGAAATGCATACATCGACCGACGGTACCAGTCTCAATCATAATAATCGCGGAACCCTTTAGCAGTACCAATGGGATTAACGGTCTAGATTGCCCCACTCCTGTAGCACTGCCACCCCCGAGGTTAAAGTTACTACCAAACATCACCCATTTGGTTTTTTGATAATCAATGTTGTTGCCGCCACCTACTCCCTAATCTCGATAAAATTTATTCTGGCTTGCAATGGTACGTGCCCTCGTACCGATGGGGAGGTATTTATAGAATATGGCTTGAACCACGGACCCTTCGTTTCTTCCCGGAAGAGCGTTGATCCGTGCGGTCATGGATCATGATCATATCAGGTGTGTTATGTGGAGGGGTTATTGTTTGTTACTGTTGGCTCTCTACGGGTGGGATTTATGTGTTTCTGGTCAAGATTGATATGGTAAATCAGACAGTGCCAGTTCCCCTGTGGCTGTTCATGTGTCAGGAGTTTGGCTTGACGGTTAGGGGTTTACCGGGTCTCCGTGTGGTTGTGGGTTAATTGGGTGCGCTTGATAACTAGACTAATAACCACTACGCATAAAGCTAATATAGGGGTTCGTAAATACTTACTATTAACTAAACCCTTTTCAGAATTTGTAGGTGCTTTGTTCTTGGAGATTGTAGATGTCAATGATTTTTTGGTCGAGCATGCTTACCCACATCTGCATGATGGCACCAACGCAGATACGATTGATTTCATTATTTATTCGTCGAGTACATACTTATATATTCTACTGCCTTTTGCGATATATAGCACTCTTCTCAAGCAAGCCCCATTCATAAATACAAAACAATAAAAACAAATAAAAATGTCGTCCAGCGAGCTCACAACATATCCAAAATGATATCTTGCCCCCCTCCAGATTATACCCTTTCCCTACCAAATTTTCTACTGTCTCTCGTCGAATCTTCCACAACCCCCCCCTCTTTTCCTGCCATCCATCCGGTCCCGTTTCGCCTCGGCTAGCGATACCGTATCTATGATACTGTCCCACGAAACAGTTGGAAAGCTCCCTTCATTCCCTTCTTCTACTCTTTCAATCCTTCTGGCTTACAATTCCATAAAGTCCATAATAGTAGCAAGATCTGGCTCCGTCCAATACGAAAACTTCACCAGGTCCTCATTATTCTTCGCCACGAACCCCACGATCCAGCCCTGGTTATGCACCATGGCCGAGGACCGATCAACCATGTACACCTCCCACCCGTTTTTGAGCTAGTAGCACCCGCCTGTCAGTCTACGAAGTTCTGGTAGGTGGTATAGGTAGTTGGAGTAGAAAGGGAAACCCACCACACCCCGCGTCTCATATCCGATGCCCACTGCTATCGACTTTAGAATATTCGTAGCGTCTACTGCCATCTTCTTTAGGAATGGCGACCCGATCGCCAGCTGCTGTAGCATTGCTGTACGGGTTGTCTTTTGCGCTGCTGTTAGGGTGGACTTTTGGGTTGATGTTATCAGGGCTTCTATTTGCATCCCCTGGTGGGGTGTGCCTAGGAAGACGATGTTCTTGACAGAGGATAGGATTTGCCTATATGCGCTGTTGGCGAGGCACTCGAGGAGTGCCTGGAGTATCAATTCCGTGTTAAAAACGTGTTTTGAATTCATAAATAGCTGAAGCTAAGCAATGTCTAGTGGAGCACATGCCTGCACGACCATGATCCCGCCAATGTTATGCCCGATAAAGATAATAGGACGAGTCTGGGCCTATATATATATACTCATGATCAGAGAAAGCTTTCTATAACATCTAGATATTGGTTTTTACCTTCGACCCCGTTCTCGCTTTCACTAGCTCTTGCAGGAACTCCTTCCTATAGTCGACCCAGCTCTTCCCGCTCACAAGGCGCGTATCATACCCATATGTCATCACCCGCGAATTCGCAAGCGTAGGCCTCAGCGGGATAAAGTCCCGCAACCACATCTTCCCCGACTCTGGCTCCAGCCAGGTGTTATATGCGTGCCCATCAACACCTCCCACTGCAATGATGCTACAATATCAATTATCATCGATCAGTCAAGTCCTTGGCACCGCAAAAATTTAATTCACGGAGGTTGAGCTATACTCATATCTCGCATTCTCTCCACCCGCATTCAGCTGTGTCAGGCCCTGGAAATGGTTATCGATCTCTAGGGCATAGCCCTGTCCATTGACGCGGTAGACGCCAGTTTGGTCAAGAACTGAGAGGGCGCCGTTGTATTTGAGAAGTGCGGTCTGCGACCCTTCGGACGGTGCGGGGTAGAGTGAGAGACTGGTGTCGGGGAGGGTGTCGAAGGCTGCGTAGGCCGTTTTGAGGGCTGTGAGGAGCGTACTTTTGGGCCAAGAGATGGGGACGTTTTTGATGCGGTAGTAGTGGGCGCTTGGGGCCATGGTTATAGAGGGAGTATATAATAAATAAAATAAATAAACAGTGTATAGATATGAGTATATTGATAATAAGAAGCTGTGAATTAAAGAATCATCAGGAGCTTTTACCATTGCCTACTTATATCCCTGTTTTTTCTCGCTGAAGCGCCTGCGCTAGCGTGATATTCATAGCTGATTGTTGATCATTGGCTCAGTGGCCGCCGGTGAGACGCCCATCTCGATGAGCTTGATACAGCTTATCCCTTCGTCTGTCAGTTAAATGCTGCCACCCCAAGAAAAAGCAAATCTGGTGTGGCTTTCCTAACAGATCTCGTTATCTCTCTTATCAAATAACAGATCTCCCATACAAATTTAATTCCTCTATTATAGGGTGGCAGCATTGACAGACGAAGGGTTATCGTCCACAGAAACCTGTCTGCACACCACTTGACGCCGTATACTGGCAGGTCGAGATATCCATGCAGCGAATCATTGGACATGCATAAGGGCTCGGCGTTTCTTTTTCTAAGAGGATTTAACGCACAGCTTTGTTAGTCTAGTACTCTGCTATGTTATAGGTAACCATGTGTGATGAACATCTGCACCGGGGGGGCGTCAAAACCGGTCGTTGACATCCACATTTAGCGTCCAGGGTTAGGGCTGTTCCATAAACGCCGCAATAGAGCGTATTTGCCAACCGTCAATTTCAAGAATTTACAAATTTTGGGGCTCCGAAATGGCAACCGGGGCTGTTAATTTTGAATTTCGGTGGGGCGGCGTGCTGTGAGATATACCAGGAGGATCACAAGTACCCAGTTGTTACTACCGAAGCTAGTATCATGGGTATGAATTTTCAGTTCGAACAGCGTACTTCACAGGTAGCGTGATGGGTTGTCTGGTTTTCGGGGTTTATTCTGTCATACCGTTAACCAGATCGATTTTGGCCACTGCAGGGAACTGTCAATTTTGCCTCCCGAAACTGTCAAGTTTGAAGTGTCGATAGTTGAAATTGACGGTTGGCAAATACGCTCTAATATAGACACGGTTGTTGGTGGCAAAGAGGGCATAGATTTATGTCTTATCGTGACGTCTTATGTTATCCATTCGAGTAAAAGCAAATGATTGAATTGCCTGCCGCCTGAATACATGCAGTATGTATGTGCATAGATGTAGTGCGTTTTATATTATCCGCTGACGGAAGAGGCCGCTGAGGATGGCGCTTCAAAACAGCTGTAGGTACATGTATTTGTACGCTAGACGCTTTGGAAATGCAGGATGAGATATTATGATATTGGCCGGCTTGCCAAGGCCGTTCTCCTAATTGAGTTCAGTCCATGAAATGATTGTAACTGTGCCAAGACATTGATTTACACTAAGCTGTAGCCTGTAGGTATTGCAATTTTGTAGGAAGTTCCACTCTGCGGGTACAAGTAATGTTTCAATCAATTGGATGGCGCCGTACAGAATACGTGACTATTATCGACGTATACTACAACTGTGAAGAATGGGTGGCTTGACAACCTGTCTTCAATTGTGTCGTATAAAGCTAGAAACTCAGTAGTCCTCCTATCAATATATCATCATCGTCTCATCCAATAGTTTGGTCTTGCTCAGCCATTAGAGCACGCACTGCCTTATCCCTTCGTCTGGCAAAAAATGCTGCCCACCCCCAAAAAAGCAAATTTTATATGTGGCTTTACTAACAGATCCCGTTATCTCTCTTATCAAATAATAAATAGATCTCACATACAAATATAATTCATGTGTTATAGGGTGGGCAGCATTGCCAGACGAAGGGATAATTGCCTCTTGAGACACATGTGGTTGGAGTTGCCGCTTCTTTGTAGTGGGATATCTGCAACCATGATATGATATGTCTGGGTTGTGATGTTTTGTGTAGTAGGTGGTAAACGTCTTATGAAGGAGCCCAATGTCTTAATTCTTTTCAAATGTCTAGGGATCGGGGCGCATTTGGGCATTCATCCATTGGATCCGGGAGATATTTGTCCCCAGGTCCTAGTATGCTAATATGCGGCAGAAAAAACCATCTCCCAAACGCCACATCGACTGTATATCGGCCTCACCTATGGCCAATAACGTACCTGTCCTCCGTTAGAAAGGCACCCCCTTCATCAAGCACCCCAGGACGTGGCTTTCGGCATCTTCTCAACGGGGGCTCCAGCGCCTTTTGTACCTACCCTTCTAGCCTCCCCCCCATCCTTCACACCTTCCCACCCCGTCCTACCCTCCCCACCACGGCCCGACCAACTCCACCCACGACTCCCGACGCAACGCTCCGCTCTCTTGACCCACCGCCAGGTAGGCAGAGGTAGGTCACAGCCAGCCGTGCCCGGCCGGCCGCTCGGCGGTTGTGTTGCTGCTTCGGGATACGTTTTGGATTCTTTTGCGGGGAGGTGCGGGGAGGTTGTGGGCTCGCTTTTCTTTACCCAGCTGGTGTTGGGGTTGGATTGGGGTTGTGCTACTCTATCTAGCGTTGTGGATGGAAGGAGAGCGGCGAGGAGGGATGGAGGGAGGGACGGGAGGAGAGGGGAAGGGGGACGATGTGTAATAGGCCGACATGGTGCCGGAGGAAGGTGGCAACGGAAAAACGTTGTCACCGTTGGATCGGGGGCGTTTGGTAAGAAAAAGTAAAAACTGGTGCAGGAGCAGTTAGGCAGACGGGCGGTTTAGTTGTGCATCGCTAGTAAATACTAATGTTTGTATCCGCGGGGGGGGGATTTTGGGATCCAGGTAAACAAATGAGATGATACTAAAATCGAAAAAGTCAGAATTATCATGCTTTCCGATATTGATATTATTTGTGACACTTGCTCGTATCCAGTTCAGAGCCTCACAAAGAACCACAAACAAACCCATGGATCCAGTCCACGCGGCATCCCCAATCCCAATGTTCCCACAACTAACTGCCATCCACGAAATTCCAGAACCCAGAAACAGCACCCACCTTCCCCGTTTGTTCGTCTTTACCCCCTCCCCTCCCTCCCCAGCCTCCTGGGCAGCAGTTAGGCTGTCACCGCTCGCCCCCTCCCTCCCTCCCCACCCACCCACCCCCGCGGGAATGCCCGTTGTGGGGACCTCTTTGCGGGGAACCTCCTTCTCTCTTGTCCCCACCACACCTCCGCGCTGGGGGTGGGGTTGGCTTGGTTGGGGAGCTGGTCCTGCATAGTGACGTCTTGTTATAGTAAGTGGCCGCGATCTGCGATCGGCAGGGTCAGGGACTGGAACTAGACTGGCGGAGAGAGAGTGAGAGCCGCACCTCTCTCTTTAGCCGTTGGTCTCGTGAGAGGGAGTTGGGGCAAGTCAGAAGGGCCGGGCAGCCAGTCTGTTTGGCTTGTGAATAATTTGCTGTGGGGAAGCTGGCAAATGCGAAAGTGGAGTAAAAAACATATGGGAAGGGGAAGAGAGATCTAGAGGAAAAGGCGATATATGACTATGACCCCCCGGTCTTCTACTGATTCTTCTACGGCTGTACCTGTCTCTGTCTCTGTCTCAGAGCTAGCTAGCTACTCTTCTCCACATCTTCACCCCCCTAACCTTCCTCTCCCTAACCTCCTCCTCCTCCCTCCTCCATACCATCTCGTATTGATCCTAATCTTAATCCTGCTTGCTGCCTTCCTTCCCCAGAAAACGCGCCCTGCCCCACCCTGGTTCTCGGTAGAAATACCCAGCTACATTACATAGCAGGCTGTGCCACCCCCGGAAGCAAAGGGAAAGGAGCAGCTCTCGGCGCACGTACGTACGAAACAAGGTCAAAGTCCAAGCCAACACGAGCACCAAGCAGTGAAAAATACGCCGCGACAGACAGGACAGTACAGGACAGTCTTAACAGTGACCTGAGTAAAATACCGCACATATACATACAAAATATAACATAGCAGCTAGCAGCACACCTACATACATACATCCAGCCTAGCTCACGTTGTACCTGCTTACCTGCCTCTATCCCCGCGCCCCGAACCAAACCTGATTCTGCAAAACCCCAGAGCAAAACTAAAAGTGGCCGCGAAGAAATCAGCGCCCCGGAACGAAGAGGAGGGGGGGGATGGTGTCGCGACAGCACTCGTCATGCACCACGGCCTACGAGATGATGACGGTTACGGTAGCATCAGCAGTGGCCCCGGGAAAGGATATAATGCGCGCTCCTACCGCACCTTCCCCGCCGTAGATTACGAGCAAGAGAAAGATCAATCCTCTCTGTCGTTATCGTCAAGAGAAAAAGGTACTTACGGAAAGAAGACTTGCTCCTTTTCATCACTGCCTTCTTCGAAGATGGCGCGCGCACTGTTAATGTCGCTGCTACTCACGCTGTCGCTGCTGCTGACGTGCTCGTCGGCGCTGCCGGTGGTGTCGAGTGAGTTGCTGAGTTTGCTACGGGGGCGGCAGCTGTCGACGCCGCCGCCGTCGGACTGGGACAATAACACTGTGCCGCAGAATATCACGGAGTTCGACTCCGAGTCGTGGGTACTGAGTACGAACAGTTTTCTGCCGAACCATTATCAGAACCAGCCGTATGTTGCGAATGGATACCATGGCAGCCGTGTCCCTGCTGAGGGCGTTGGCTTTTGGGTATGTCGCTTTGCTTTTGCTCTCATCCTACCATATATGTGTATTTTCCTGTGGATAATATCACTGACATCTAACCTTCTGGGCAGATCTCCACCTCCTCGCCCAACTACAACCCCACCAAAGTGCCGCCCATTAACGGCTGGCCACTCGACAACCCTCGTCAAACCGTCGCCACCGTCTCCGGCTTCTGGGACTACCAGCACAACACCACACGCACAAACTTCCCCGAGCTGCTGAAAGACGGCGGCGAGAGCGTCATCTCCGGAATCCCCACATGGACCACCTTCTACATCACTACCCCCGACGGCCAGCACACCTATGCCCCCGGCGTCGACCCCGAGTCCGTTACAGCGTTCTATCAGGGCCTTAGCATCCGCAACGGCGTGCTGACCACCGCGGTTACCTGGGTCCCTGTAGAGGACGGCCCAGAGTATCAGATCACGTTCACGGTCTTGGCGCACCGCTCGCGTGTCAATGTCGGCATGATGAAAGTCGACATCACATCGAGCGCCGACGGCGAGGTGATCGTTACTGATATCCTGGATGGTGCTGGTGCACAGCGCACCGACCACGCTGGGAAGGAGTTCGAGTCCAAGGACGACCTGATCTGGACTGCGGTGCGGCCGTGGGGCATTGAGGAAGTCGCGGCGTATGAGGTGTCGACGCTCGACTTTGGCGCGTGCGCGAGCGCGGTGGTGGAGGGGTCGCGCGTGGATGCTGCCGAGCGTGCGTATGTTTCGAAGCACGTTTCCACGGTTACGCAGGAGTATAGGCTCAACCTGGCGGCGGGGGAGACGGCGACGCTGTATAAGTATGTGGGCATTGCGAGCAGTGATGCGTTTAAGGACCCCGCGAAGACTGCTAGGAAGGCGGCGATGAAGGCGAAGAAGGATGGCTGGGAGCAGCTGCTGGAGGAACACGATGAGGCGTGGAATGAGCTGTGGGAGGACGGCGATGTGATTGTAGATGGCGATGAGGTGCTCCAGATCTCGGTACGCGCGACGCTGTTCCATCTCTTGAGTAACATCAGAGGTGCCTCCGAGGGCCGCGGACTGGGCGATAACAGTATCTCTGTTGGTGGCTTGACTAGTGACTCTTATGCCGGTTTGGTATTTTGGGATGCTGATTGTGAGTGGACTTTTCTATTTATATGGGCCGAATGCTAACTGATGACAGTGTGGATGCTCCCCGGACTGCTTGTTCTGCATCCCGACCACGGCGCAGCAATCAATGAGTACCGCTTCCGTCTCCTCCCGCAGGCCATCGAGAACGCAAAACAGCACGATATGCCCGGCGCGATGTACCCATGGACCTCGTCACGCTTTGGAAACTGTACCGGGACAGGCCCGTGTGCGGACTACCAGTACCATCTCAACACCGATATCGCCCTCGTTCACTGGCACCAGTTCTTGAGCACCGGCGACTACGACTGGCTGAAGGAGCAGGGGTGGCCCGTGATCAAGGCCGTCACCGACATGTGGGCTGCCTTTGTGCGGAAGAGTAATGTGACGGGCGAAGACGGCCTTGAGGTCGGGATGTACACTGTCCACAACATGACGGATCCTGTATGTAAACCCTCGGAGAATTGGTTAATGAAGTTTCTAATAGGCATAGGATGAATACGCAAACCACATCGACAACGGTGCATTCACAAACGCCGGTGTCAAGGTTCTTATGGGAATTGCAAAGGCTGCCGCTGAGCTTCTTGGATACTCGGCCCCTGAGAAGTGGACCGATATCGAGGAGAACATCTTCATCCCGTACAACACCGCGGCCTCGATCATCCCCGAGTACGGCGGCATGAACGGGAGTGTGGAGATCAAGCAGGCTGATGTTGTGCTGATCAACTATCCCCTTGAGTTCCGTCTCAACGAGAGCCAGGCTCTGGGTGATCTCGACTTTGCAAGTTCTCCTCAATCTTTGATTTCTTTTTTTAGAATTTTAATTCTAATGTTAATTAGTACGCCCGCGCCCAATCCCCCGACGGCCCCGCCATGACCTGGGCCATGTTCGCCATCAACGCCGCCGACCTCTCCCCCGCCGGCTGTGCCTCCTACACCTACTTCGTGTACGCCTCGCAGCCCTACCTGCGCGAGCCCTACTACCAGTTCAGCGAGCAGATGAACGACAACATCACCGAGAACGGCAACACCAACCCAGCCTTCACCTTCCTCACCGGCCACGGCGGCTTCCTGCAGATTCCTACACACGGCTTCACGGGGTACCGCCCGCGCCTCGACGCATTCTACCTCGACCCGTCGCTGCCCCCGCAGCTTCAGGGACTAGAGGTAAAGGGCATGAAGCACCAGGGCGCCGTCTTCAACGTCCGCATTGAGCTCGAGAACACCACCATCACCCGCGTGGCCCCCCGCAAAACACTCTCTGCCAGAAACACGACTACGTCTCTCGATGCGCCGGTGACGGTCCGCATCGGCGCCCGTAACGCAATGGCAGGCGACTGGCAGGTCGCCCTCGGCGAGTCCCTCATCATACCTACCCGCCGCCCCGACCTCAACGGCACGGACCTGCCGGGCAACCTTGCACAGTGCAAGCCTGCCACCTCAGACAGTACGTGGGTGGCAGGGCAGTTCCCGCTGGCCGCTGTCGATGGGTCGAACCATACGACGTGGCAGCCGGCGACGAGTGCGCCGAGCGCAGTGACGGTGGACCTGCTAGCGCCGACGAAGATCAAGGGCGTGTCGTTTAACTGGGCAAAGTACCCGCCGGAGGCGTGGACGGTGCTAGTGGCGGACAGCGAGGACGGCGAGTGGACGGTGGTTGGGGCAAATAGTAGTGTGGAGGTCAGCGATCCGTGGAGGAGGGATGAGTCGCTGGTGGTGAGGAGGCATGTGGGGAATGTGACAGTGCAAATGCTGGAGGAGGAGGTGGAGGCAAGGTGGGTGAAGTTGGTGATTGAGGGGACCAAGGGGGATAAGGCGGTGGGGGCTACGGTGGCGCAGTTTGGGCTGCTGTAGTGGGTTTGCCCTACTGTGTTAGATCTTTGTGTGTTTGTTGGTTAGTTGTCTATGCTAGTTAGCTATGCCTTTGGGCATGGGGCCTTTTGAGCGTTTATGTAGTTGTAGTTTTATGTAGAAATGATATATGCTTCTCAAGTAGAGTGTGTGTGTGTGTTTGGGATCATTGACCTGTCATATGTGGGATAAGAAGCACAAACTAGCGGAAAAGAAGTTTGGTGGAAGTGCCTATTGAAGACTTTATATATGACCTCCAGCGGGGCGGAGGTGTGATACGCCAGAATGATGCACTTTCGCTTTCGTCACCTGCATAATCTGGAAGAACAAGGAAATGCAGGTACAATCTCTTTGGATTATAGCACTATCTAGAGTGGGTTACGTATGAGGATCTGGTGGCGATATTGTATTATAGTTACGGGTGGTATTATATCTCTTGTGTTATTGTAGTGTTGTAGGGTTTTGTATGTGCAGTTCGCCATTCAAAGGTATTATTAAACCGCTCTGGATGGATAGATATGATAGATAGCTAGATGGGTAGAGACGTGGGTAGAGAGGTATGTAGAGAGAGGGGATGTAGACAGACGGTAGCCAGATTGGAAGACAGATTGAAAGTCGCGCTTGGGGTATGATAGATGACCTGATTGATGATAGAGGAAAGAGTCCTCTAACCGCGAAGATATATATACTACCTAGTCCGGTATATGTGTTCTACTTGTACAATGCTGAGTGTTCTCTTTCGATCTGAATGCAGTATTGTTAACTATCCTTACATATAGCCAGATCTGCACATAGACACGTAGATACATGTAGCTACATCTAGCCATGTAGGTACAATATGTACATGTAGTCTACAAGTCTCGTTGGATATGTGTCATTCAAAGCAATAATATCACGGTGTCAAACAGCGAAGGACCCGCTGTCAAGAGGAATGTGTCCTAACTGGGCTCCTATAAAATGGCTTTGAATGGCTTTAGACGTCGATAATAATTGAAGCTTTGAGACTCGTGGATGAGGGCAATTAACGAATCCCTAATCAATCAATCAATCAATCAATCTGAGACTCGTCAAACCCGATCTCAGATCTTCCGAGTGAGCGCCTATGAGTGAGTCACCCCCACCATGGTCACGGTTCCCAAATTTCCCGTGGGGGTAATGATCAACACATCACATATGATATTAGTGCAGTCTGCTTTGCAAGCTTTCAGAGCTTTTGTGGGTTGTGGGAGTCATCCATCAGAACTGCGGGGAAGAGGAAAGGGAAATATAGGCAGTTGGATCAGGCGAACCATCGGTCTACTATCACGGGTAGATGTGTGGAGATTATGCACCTGTCGGTAGCTAAGCCAACCAGAGCAAAGCGGCAAAAGATCTAAAGGCAGGTACCTACATCACATAGAGAGGTTGTTGCAGTTGTTAGTGTTAGCAGCTGGATGGGGGACTTGGTGGGATTTGCTTGGTGAGGTATAAATAGCATCCCTTGCCCCTCCCTCCTCTTCCCCTCTTCTCTTCTGTATCTTCCATCACACTCTCACTTTTCCGCAACATTATCTTTTTCAGCTGATAGGCAGGGCTTAGGGCTTAGGGCTTAGGGCTAGATTACACAACACCCCTTCACAGCCCGTCACCCGGACACACATTCACGACTCCCCCGAACACACTCGCGAAGGGCAGAAGGGACCCTCGACACACAGCTCACGATGCCCTTCCCCTTCCCCCCCATCAGTCAGTCCTCTCCCCGCCCCCCTCAGCATCTGTTGGAGTATCAGTACTGAACCCCCCCCCCCCCCCACAGGCCCCGAAGAAAGAGCATCCCTCAAAGTCTCCCTCAAGGCCTACGAAGACTACCGCCTCCTCCTCTACCTCCGCCAATGCATCACCAATGTCGAGAAGGCCATTAGGGCCGAGGGCCCCATGACCATCGGCGTCAGAGAGTTCGCCACGCTGCGCCGCGTCCTCTCGCTCGCCTCGCAGGCCAAGTTCGACGACGACGGCCTGTACTACCGCGTCTCCGAGATTGGCCGTGCGATGAGCCACCTCATGAAGCCAGACATCTACGGCGCCGACATCGCCTGGACGGCGAGTAAGCTGTGCGAGCGCTGGGGGAGGGGCGAGTTTGCGCCGGGCCCTGTGCCGTCGGACGAGGACTTTGAGTTCACGAGTGATGAGGAGGAGGGGCGTGCGAGCGATGATTGGGACGAAGATGAGGTGGCGGATGACTGGGAGGCCGGCGGCCTCATGAGGGGGATCAAGGTGACGAGCTCCCGGACGGGGGGCAGGACGTATAGTCTCGATCCAGCGTTTCCGCGCCGCGATGCTGCGGTGTTTGGACACAACGGGTTGGAGGTTGGAGAGTGAGTTTATATACCCCTTCCCCCCGACTCGGAGTTACTATATAGAATGTGTGCTGACAGGAACACAGCTGGTGGCCATACCAGATCTGCGCGCTCCGCGACGGCGCCCACGGCTCACGCATGGGCGGCATCCACGGCCGCATCCAAGGCGGCGCCTACAGCGTCGTCATCTCCGGCAACATCGACTACGAGGACACCGACGCAGACCAGGGCGACACCGTCTTCTACTCCGGCTCGCGCGGGAACCGCAAAGACGAGGACATGAGGGGCAGCGACGTGCCCCCCGTGCTCACGAACGCCACCATGTCGCTCATCAAATCCGAGCAGACGGGGAAGCCCGTTCGGCTTTTCCGCAGCCAGAAGGACTCGCGCTGGGCCCCCTCGGTGGGCATCAGGTACGACGGGCTGTATCGGGTCATCAGTCATGTCACCTTGACCACCGACGATGGCACCGGGTTCTATAGGTTTACGCTGAGTAGGATCACGGGTCAGCCGCCGATTGATAGGAACCGGCCCAGTCTGGCGGAGAGGAAGGAGTATGTGAAGATGACGCATAACCGTTAGGTGTGCAGGCATCCGGGGATCGGGGGGTGAAAAGGTGCTGGGGTCAACGGGGGTGTGGGATAGGTCTTTTCGTTTTCGTTTTTTTTTTTATCTTTTTTCTTTTTGTAGGTTATGTTCTTTTTTTATATAGCTTGTAGGTATGTTACATCTAATCGACAACTCGGCGTAAAAGGGGGCCAAAATATCATTTCCAAATCAAACGAGCATTTCTGTATTATTGCATTCTTGCTTATTGACATGTAGGTTTATTAAACCAGCGCTATCTACAGTTTCCGGTAGAATTATTGCGAAAGTCAGAGCTAAAAGAGTGGATTTTGTTGGTCTGTGCTCGTAGCAAAAATCTTTTAAGGGCCAATAGGACTATCGGGTCACGGGGAACCCACTTTCGCAATAATTCTACCGGAAACTGTAGAGAACCAAATCCTAGTCCGCTCACTCCCATCAATCGAATCCCCTTGTCTGCTGTTAATCCTACCAAACATCAACACCCAGAAAACCAGAGAAACAAGCCACCACCAAAGCCACCCCCGAGTGAACAAACACAACCATCATCTCCAGCCAGCTAAATACCCACGATTCTTAACCCACTAACCACACCTATACCTAGGCCACATATAACCAAACCCACTCCGCCACCCGCCAACCGTCCGCCCACTCACCCGTTAGTTACCCCACCATACACCCCCGCCCACCAAACAATCAAACCGAGTGACAACCCATGATCCCCCTCCCCTCCCCCCATGCAAGTCCCCGTCCTGTGCCCGTGTACCAGCGACACCAACACCGATAACGATACGAGGGCGCACAATGCTGTACGCCAGGGAGGATCGTGTGATGCTGTTGTCACGCTGTAGATGACGGAGTCCCAATGCGAGGTGGAATGGCAGGTGTAACGGTTATTTAGTAGATATACGAGGTGTAGCGTTACTAAAGTGTATATAGGTTTTTTTGGAAGTTGGATGGACGGTGTGGATGGGGATGGATGGATGGATGGTGACGATAGTTATGGCTGTGAATACGAGTACGGGGAGGCACTGGGCTTTAAAGGTTGAGGATGTTGGTGTTTGGAGCGTCTCTAAATGTCGGTGCTGAGAGGATGTACATGTAGAAGCACCACGGTATGTAGTGTAGAGAGAATAGAACTACTCCATTCGATCATTTAGATCTGTATCTATCTAGTTAGATCTGGGAGTGATGTGGTTCAAGATGGGTCAACAGCAGTAGCCATGGCCGCACTGCAGCTCCGGCCCAAACACTCGTCTCCGCAACACTTTCCAGCACTCCCACTCCCACTGCCCACCACTATGACTACACACTGACCACTACTACTAACGTTATGCAATCCCGTCCCCATCCCCGCAAACAGCTCGCTGGTGCTATCCTACATGTAAGTACCAACACCCCACTCCCAACGCCCACCACTACCCAAACCCACATCCAGCTAGCGCCCTTTCCCGAATCCTAGCGTCCTCTACTTAAGAGTAACAATACCTCCGTCCACAACCCCCCCACAAACCACCTCTCCCTCCGACGTGTTTCTCCCTCCCTCCCTCCCCTCCCCTCCCCACAATCCCTACCTTACCCACATTGCCTGAGTCACCACCCCACAGAGCCTCACGCAAGGCAACCAACCACCGCATCCAAGCCAGCCAGTCACGCACGCGCAGTCTGGTGTTACTCTACTCTACAAGGATCTCACAGCCAGAGAGCCGCACAAAGCCCCACCCGACTCAAGCCAACTGGCTAGCAAGTGAGCAGAGCATGTAGTGTTACTTGTTAGCCCATGTAGGGTGGAATAAGTCATAGATAGGTAAGTAAGCTATGTCGGTAGGTAGCAACCACACTGTCTGTCGGCCTGTCTGTCTGTCTGTCAGGGCGAAGGAGGCTGAGAAAAATGCGCTGCGCTCTCAACGTAGCTGCCGCCCTGCTACCTATCTTACCTCCCTAGCCTAACCTACCCCTACTTAAGTAACCCCGCGGAACGACCATCGATCCGGAGGTCTGTCCTGCTGTTCTGTTCTGTTCTGTTCTGTTTCTGTCCTTGTCTCTTCTGGATGGTGATACGGAAAGACGGTGTTTTGGCTCCTGTTTTTTTTTTCTGTTTTCTGGTTCTGGTTTTCTGGTTTCCTGTCTGATTGTTAGCTATCCCACCGCCGCCGCCGCCGCGCAGCACCACGCCCGCCATGCACACCCACAACGCCCCCTCCTCCACAGCAGCGCGCTTCGACCCCACCACCATCCCTTCGACCACCTCCCTCACCATAACGCTCCACTACTCGCACCCTCCCCCCTGCCCCACCTCTCCCACCACCACCCCACCCCCCCTCCCCCCCAACCTCACCCACCCCACCCCACACGACACCACCCCCGCCCTCCACCGCGCCCTAACCTACTCCACCCGCCACCGCCTCCACTACACCACCCATCTCCTCAACAGCGGGTCCCCCGCCTCCGCCCGCGACCCCCAACTCAACACCCCCCTCCACATCCTCGCCGCGCGCACCCCCTGCGCCGTAAACACATGCATCGTGCGCCTGCTGCTGCAGCCTCAATATGGCGCCGACCACGACGCGCTCAACGCCGCGGGCTACACGCCGCTGCACGTCGCCGTGAAGCGCGGCAACGAGGATGTAGCGCGGGCGCTGCTCGTCGGCGGCGCGGGAGTGGATGTGCGGTGTGGATGCGGGGGTGGGACGGCGCTACATATTGCGGCGCGGCGGGGGTGGGAGAGTGGTGTTGCGTTATTGTTGGCGGCGGGGGCGAGTGTGGGGGTGCAGGATAGGATGGGGGCGACGCCGCTGCATGTGGCGGGGAGGATGGGGGATGCGGGTGTCGGGGTGGCGAGGTTGTTGATGGGTGCGGGGGCGGATGTGAATGTGCAGGATGGGGAGGGAAGGAGTGTGGTGCATGTGATGGCTATGGCGGGGAGCGTAGAGGGCGTGAGGATGTGTTTAGAGAGGGAGGCGGATCTGGAGGTGAGGGATGTCGGGGGAAGGACGGCGGGGATGGTGGATTGGAGGTTTGCGGTGGATACAGTGAGGTTTGAGGAGAGGAGGAGGAGGATGGGGGTGACGGTGGGGGTGAGGGCGGCGGGTGCTAGTGGTGAGGAGAGAGAGGGGAAGGCGTTGTTGAAGCCGGCTTCGTGTTAGGTTTCGGAATGGTGAAGGCGGGTGGGTCCATTTGTAGTTGGTTAGATGATCTTCCTCTCCATTGCTATTATTGGTATAGTCCGCTCTTTCTTCTTCCTATCATCACCATTTCTTGTCATTAGCAGCCATTTATTCTGTATTTCATTTATTTCATTTATTCCATCCCATTTATTCCATTATTTCTTCGATTCCCCATGTCCTCTTCTCCTGGTGATGGTTCGGGCTTTTGGGTTCGTTGGATTTACTCATCTTTAACTTGGCTGTTATTTTTTTCTTTTCGGTAGTTGGGAAATGAATTGAGATGAGACATGAAAGAATTGAGATGAGGCATGAAACAGTAGAGTGGTGCAATTGCGTGCATGATTGCGTGCCTGTGATGTAAGGGCCCGGAGGAGCTGATGCATGGCTGCGGCGTGCGCTTTTATTGGCCTGCGAGCTGGATTCGATTGTAGACACCCAGTACTTGGCTCAGTAGCTACATAGTATCATCCCATAAGAGGCTGGAGTACTCTAGAGACGTAGATATCCCATCGTCAGATCGAATTGGTGTAGTTGAAGTGAGAGCGAGAGGCTCGAATCGAATCCTCATTTTATCTTCCGTCTAATGAACATCTCGTTCTCGTTCTCTGGCCCTCTAGTACTGCCAAGACGAACCAATATCCTCACGGTGTCTGTCCACAATAACTGTGAGAGACGGTAATTTTACCTGGTTCCCAACAACACTAAGCCACGCCACCTCGTCCAATGAACGGGTATTGTATTCAGGTATAGTCCTCATTCTGTTCTGCAGAGATATGAGCGATAGCATCAATGGCCAGAAGCCCTTGATCGTTAATCCCTATTTCCACGATAGTTCCACCAGAGACTGTAGCTAGGGTCCTTGGATGTACTAGTTGGTATCTTTTGAACTCCATAGAGCAGGATCACTCTCCAGGGCTTTTTCCAGGAGCATAATTGCCATATTCTATATTCCAGGGCAGGTAGATAATCTTCATCCCCATCCCAGGCAGAGTACAGGTAGGTCCCACATTACCCCACTCCCCACTCGCCATCCCCATACCCCTCCTCCACAACCCCAACCCCAAACCCAGAGCCTCATCACGCCGCCACACGCCCACATCCGCCGGCAAATCAAGCGGAGCACCATGTCGTGCAGTGCACCTAGAGCCTGTACCCGGTACATGTACATGTACATATGTAGACGCATGTCTCTACCCTTCTTCCACCCTACCCTACCCTTCCGCTTGTTTAAGCGCGGTGTGGGGGGGGGGGGGGGGGGTGTCTACTGCTCCCGGCTAATCAGCCCACCACCCCAACGGTAACTAAGCTACTCTAACGGAACCTAACGGGGGGGGGCCAACGGAACCTGACGGGCGGGCGGGACGATCCTATGTGACGGGTCATCTGTTGAACTATCTATCTGTGTTTATCTAGCTGTGGGGGGGGGGGGGGGGGAGGGGTGGGTGTAGAGTATGGATGGACGAAGGTACATGGAGAGACCAGACATCAGATCATACCCACAGGCCATGGCCAGCCGCCAGCCAAGTGATTGGGTACCAACGGAGCGGTTCTCAATGCCCGGTGCAGCGGGGTGGGGTGTGAGAGGCAAGGAGCGAGAAGGAGGGGTGGGTGGGAAGGGAAGGTGGGAAGGGAAGGTGGGAAGGGAAGGTGGGAAGGGAAGGTGGGAAGGGAAGGGAAGGGAAGGGAAGGGCAGGGAAGGGGAGGGGTGGAAAGGCACGCGTAGACCTGGCTATGTAGCTAGCTAGCATTCCACACATACCTGTGTTATTGTTTTTGCAATCCCACCAGCCTAGCCTAGCCTGCCGTTCTTCATTCCATCCTCATCCTCTCTTCATCTCCTTCCTCCACGAGCTAGCAGAGGAAGAAGAAGAAGAAGAAGAAGAAGAAGAACAAGAAGAAGAAGAAGAAGAACAAGAAGAAGAAGAAGAGAGATTGTTCTTCTCTACACACAAGACATCCATATCCACTCGCCGGTCGATATCGTCACACCCTCCCATCTTCTTCCTCGCCCCACACCGCACGGCGCCTACTAGAGTACAGGTACCACCACATCCTCACACCATCCCACCACCTAGCTAGCCGCCATCCACACAGTAACAATACCCACCTCTCCACACCACCCTCCCAAAGCCTACACCCACCCCACCCCACCCCACCACCACCACCACCACCACCACCACCACCACCACACAATGCACGACTGCCGCACCAACGGCGGGCACTTCTTCGTCCACCGCCCGCAAGGCCACGCCTTCCGCTGCCGCCGCTGCAGCGAGCGCTTCGTAAACAGCTGGTCCCCCACTACTACTAGCACTAGCTCTGCGGGCCCGCGGCAGAAGCACCCCTGGCGGTGCATCATCGAGCGGTGCGAGTACGTCGCGTGCGACCCGTGCTCGAGCATCCTGATGGAGGAGCTTGCTGCGGGCGGGGATGGCGCAGAGAAGGTGGATGAGAAGGTCAAGGGGGAGAAGGGGGGGAAGGGGGTGGGGGAGGGGGAGGGGGCCGAGAAGGAGAAGGAGGGGGTCATGGAGGTGGATGATGAGGAGGAGGAGGGCGAGGGCGGGTATGAGCCTGCGGTGGTGTGTAGGACCGCCAGGCAGGCGGCGGCGGAGGCGGCGATGAAGAGGGCGTATGTTAAGCGGGCGCCGGTGAGGCATGGGGGGAGGGTGGAGTAGGGCGCTGTGGTGGTGGGGTAGTGGGAAGGGGGAGGGTGTGGGCGGGGGTTATAACTTTTCGATTTCTTTTTTTTTTTTGTTACAGTATTCTTTTTCTTCTTTTTTCTTTCTTTCTTTTCTTTGCTAGCTGTTCGTTTTCTGCTAGCTGTTCGTTTTCTACTAGCAACATATATTCTTTTTCTTTCACTAGCTGTTCTTTTTTTACCAGCTGTTTTTCCCTCCTAGCTATTTTTATTCCGCTTCTTCGATTTCGCGCTTCCTCTTCATCTTCTTCTTCTTACGCGGAACAGGCACAGTAATTATTACGTTGCGTTGGGAGTCTTCGTCTTCACCTCTCATTCCCTTTCTCCTTCAGCATCCTCTCCTCACCCAATCTCGTAATGTGTACGGAGCCATCTCCGCTAGTCACCGGCGTTCGGTCATCAGCCCTTAATCGCACCCATCGCATCAATCCCATCAATCCCATCAATCCCATCAATCTCATCACTGCCCAACTATTCACCGCAATCCCCCATCACATGCCTCCCTCCATCCATGAATATAAATAGCCTCAGAACCGACCCTAAACATGGCCGAGTGATACTCCATGATGTTGCCTCTTACGAAATAACGACGGCACCCGCTCGCTCCCGCCTCCGAAAATAGATCATCCCGCTTCTTTAGCGGGCGGAGGCTTGGATCTTGACGTCCCCTCAACCTCTCTATCGAAAGCCCCCACTGCCACTGCTAACGTCTGCTACTGTGCCATCTCGGAACCGCCATCTCTAAACCATCTCGAAACCCACCACCACCTCACCTCTCATCCACCACCACCACCACCACCACCACCACCACCACCACTACAACCACACACAACCCCACACCACCAACCGCAATGCCCCCCCTCCCCCACCCATTCACGCCCCCCCTCCCCCCCCACCGCCACCACCGCCTCCTCTCCTCCCCCCTCTCCACCCGCCCACACACAGCCATCCCCTCCGACACCACCGAGTGGGACCCCTCCATGGTCAGCCCCGCGCGCATCGACCCCTTCTACACCCCCCTGCCCAGCACCACCACCACCAAGCCGCGCCCCCACCCCGCCGGCGCCCGCCCCGCCGAAGGCGTCTTCGGCGTCACTTTCGTCGACCCCACTCCCACTCCCACTCCCCCACCCCCCGCCCCGTCAAAACGCAAGCGGGCGCCTGGGTCCGGCCGAAAAGCAGCCACACCAAGCACCGCCGGGCCAGCACCCAAGCGGCGCAAGTCCGCCGCGGCCGCCGAAGCCGCTTGTACAGCTGCCGTCGCGGGGATAACTGCCGTCGCCGCAGCAGCCACCCACACCATCACCGCCGCGAGCAGCGCCCTCGCCGCCCTCGCCGCCCTCCCCACATCCCCGTCCACATCCGCGCTCATCACCCTCGCAACGCGCACCGAGTGCATGCCACTGATCGACCTGTACCGGGCGCACGCGCAGCAGCCGCCGCGGTGCCGCCGCGGCATGAGCATTCTGCACACGAAGCTGCCGTACATTGGGGAGCGGACGCTGCTGAATCTCGATTTGGCGGGGGCCGAGGAGGACGGGGTGATGGGGGCTGTGGAGATGCGGGGGCTGGTGGATGCGGGCGAGGGGAGTGTGGCGTGGGGGAGGCTGGAGAGTGTGGTGAGGGATGGGGAGGTGGGGGGCGTGTGTAGGAGGGTTGTGCGGTTTGTTGAGTGGTCGTAGAGGGGAGGGGGAGGTGTGTGGGTGGTTTCTCGGGTTGGCGTTCTGTTATGGTTCTGTGTGGGTGCTGGCGTTTGATACCCCGGATGCGTGGGGCTGTCTGGTTATTATTAGTATTGGTAGTGGAGTTGCTGGTCTGCAGCTCCTTCGGCTTTTGGGTGGTGCAGTATCGAGTATCGAGTATCAAGTATCAAGTATCAATTAACTGGTAATCTTTAGTCTTATTTACTTCTCTTTGCCTTTCTCAGATCTTTATATATTGTTGTACCTTATTTCTCCCTCCCCCCTCCCTGGTTCTCTGTATCTTATTTATCCCTATTCTCTCAAATACTCCAATTTCTCCTAATACTCTTAATTATCTAGCTCTCTCTACTTCCCTCCCTCTACCTCTCTCTAGATCTCCTCTTTAGTACTCTACCCCCCCCCCGGCCTTCCTGTATATAACAACCGTCCGTTTTATAAATCAAATAAACTAGAGTATCTACACCACTTATTCCGCATCCCATACCAGCGCACTCCAGAAATTAAACGACATCCGACTCACAGTCAGCTGGATCACGAGCCATCACTCGCCGTCATTAGCAGGCGGTTATTACAACCGGGAGGATGAGATCGATGTTGGAACACTATAGCGCTCGTAAAGAGTATCTATGGCTCTCCCAGGTACTGCTGGCTAGAAAATCTGGTAAGGTTGGCGTGGGTGGTGGTGGTGGTGGTGGGTTATGTAGCGCGCGAGGGATGAGGTTATGCATATATTCAGCCGCTTGGGTTACCGGAACATTGTTTCAACCCTATCACGATAGAGTACTTTTGGGCAGCTCTGTGTTTCGGGTGGATGCATAATACAGGCGCGGCAAGAGATGATAATAACTGGACGAGGGCATTATTGCGGGGGGTGTGTGAGGGTGAGGGGACAGAAACCCCCCGTGTAGTGGATAAGGAAATTAGCTGGATCATAGATTGTCACTCGGTGCGAACATCCGAAGGCGGCCGGCCGGTCTGGGTCTATTAACCCAGATCACCGCACCCACTCCTGCTAGTCGCCCCGCCGTTATCCTTGGCGCCTTGGCATCCAAGTACCGCCCCCCCCCCCCCCCGGTGGGCGAGTGGTCGCTTGCTGGATACCGTACGCGTGCGATTGCAATGTGCCTGGCCTGAAAGGTCCATGGTTCGGTCTGGGAGCGAGAGTAGTAGGTTTCAAGATAGCGGGGTTTGCGGGGCTTTTTTGTTACCTTTTTTTATTTTGGTTGTCCTTTTTTTTTTTTTTTTTGTTGTTCTGTTTTTTTTTTCTGGTGTAGAATGGAGTTTTTCTATTTCGGTTTCGGGGGGATGAGGAGGTCGGCGATTACTATGTGCCTATTATGTATTGAATATATAAAAGAAATGTATTTGTCAATGTCAGAGGGAGCATTACAGACAGAACATTTTTTTCGTCGGTGGCGGTAGATACGGATGGTATACAGAGTAGGTGCTAAATTGACCAGCTGCTGGAGCAAGGAAGTCGACACTACATAGTAGAGTAGATTATTTATTTGGTATTTCGCGTCGCTAAGGATGTGTGTTTATTACCCTCTAAGGAAAAAAGAAAGGGAGGGGGGGGGGGTGAAAATTAAAGATTACCCACTCATGGAAATGATCAAAATACCGGAAACCGATGCCAAGCGGCCCACTCCCACACATAAGCCTTCCTACACCTCGCCAAGGACAGTACGTCTCTATCCTGAACTACATCTTCTCCAGGGAGCCATAGACACCTTTACCGCCTTCAACATGTGCCTGGCGAATGGGTCCCTGGCGGCTCTTCAACTCTTCCCGTAACCACGCCCTGCAGGCAGGGGCACAACAAAGCCCCCCAAGTCCCATCCATTCTATCCTTTGTTCCCAGATCCCAACGCCATAAAAGGCCCCCTCCCCCACCCCCAACTCCATCACAACCCACATCCAAAAGACACCACCGCACCCACAGCTACCAACATGAAACTCCTGACCACCAAGCCCTTCGCCGACGTCCCACCTCCAGGAAACCGTCTCCTCACCCCCGCTCTCAAACCCCTCCAGAGGCGGCTACGGGCGTGGTCGAGGAGGCCCGCGCCCGCGCTTGTTCTTGTCTGGATGCGGAGACTAGTACCGTGGTTGTAACCATGATGTGTTGATACCGCTACGCGGATAGCTGGTTGGCTACGATGTTGTATAAGTGGATGGGTGTATGTATGTATGTATGTATGTATGACCGGCGCGGCGGGACCTACATGTATGTATGATACAATACGGGAAACCCGGGTGTGATTAGAGCCGTACAAGTTTTGCAGGTTTAAAAGTGACGTAGTAAAACCATATTAACAAAGACACCGACTTTTCAAAGAAATGTATTTCTATAGAAGCACTTTTTTTTTAAACATACAGTAGAGAACTGGTGTTCTTCAAAAAGGGTTATTTTGGTCACAAGCTGTTTTTTTTTTTTTAGAAAAAAGCGGGGTTTTAGAAAACGCCGTACCAGTACGCCTTTAATATACCATTAAAATACCAAAATATTCAAAAGCATAGTTGGGGTCTGGAAACTAGCAGGTCTCCGATATACAATTGAAAACTAATACAAGTAGTAGGTGTTCTGAAGATTCCTCTTGTACATGTGTATGTTGAGAATTACAATTTGGCAATTCCATCAATGGCATGACCTGATGAAATCAAAGCGAGGGAGGTTGAAGGATGAGTCTACATGTATGTATATATAGATACGAGGGTTGTAGGTACATGTACATGCATGTGTAGGTCTGGCCTAGTACCATACCCTGATACTAGCGCGGTCACAGAACTCAATTGTGTGACCAGCTAGCTAGCAGTATTGGTACGGCCTTTTTGAGCATACCGTTCTTTTGGGATAGCTTATTTGCATGAAATAACCTTTGTTTGCAATTATAGTATTCATATGAATACTGAATTAACCTGAGCCGAATGAGCAAGCTTAATGCTCATAAAAGCCGCATCACTACAAGACTACTACTGCTCTAATCACACCCCATTTTCCGCCATTGTACTTATGATACAAACGGGGCGCCGGAGAACAGGGTTTCGGGTGGATGATATTGGCTACTCACGGGGCGCATGACGCAACGAAATACCGATACTGCTACTGGCAGAGCGGATCTTTTTTCATTGTTGAGTGGTGGTATATATCTTCATAAGCTATCACTCGACCTCATGTACTCCAGGGACCGTCGTACATTACAGTGGTGGCTATTCCACATTAGGTCAATCAATATTAGGGTTTTCTGGGAGCATCTCGCGAGAGATGAAACAAACGAGGTTACTGAACGACCACAAAGTTCTAAAAAGTAATTCGCCCTGTCACATCAAAACTCATTCCCACTTACATAATAAACAGTGAAAGTTATTCAAGGTTGATAGCTTCAATTCCAACAAAATCTATGTACCCTGTTCACGCATCTTGGTATCTAAAATAGGAAATAAAATCAACGCATAACACAGACGAGAAACAGGACCAACGAAAAGAAACAACACAACTGCCGCCACAGAAATCCAAAGAAGAGGAAAACCAATAAGTATTTTAGTCCCAATCCCGAACCCAAACCCAGCCTTCGGTTTTTAAAAAAAAGAGCGCAAGGAAAAATCATTTACATAGAAAAAGAAAAAAAAAGAAACAGAAATTTAAAATTCACAATTAAGCAGCCGGGGAATCCTCATATTTATCCCAGTTTGCGAGAACCTGCCCGATTCTAGGACTGTTCGTCAACTTGTAAACATCCTCAAAGTATTCCTTGGTCAAGGCAAACGGTTTCGCAGTGACGTTTGGAATGTATTTTCCAATAAGCTTGCTGGGGTCGATGGAGCTCTTGAGGATCTTTTTCATCAAGAAACTTCTGAATGGCTTGACACCGCTGCGCAAGAAGGTCGAGTGGAAGGGGACATCGATTCCACGAAGAGGGATTGTAGCAAGACCGCGCTGGAGTTCGAGTGGCTTCGGCTTTGCCTCAGTTTGCTTAGCACATTCTTGAATAATCTCGACCAACTTCTCCTTCACACTCTCAAGTGACATTTTGGCCATGAGAGCTTGGATATCAATTTTCTGGACCTTAAGGAAGTTGAGGACATTGGTAAGGCAGTCAAGGGCGCGGAGCTAATAAAATTTAGTAAAGATTCAATAAAGATCACAACGGAGAAATAAAACTCACATCTCCAGCGCAAACATACTGCTGATTGGCAACGTTGTAGTTGACAACTTCCAGCAGCCACTTAGTCTCCTCCGCGATGTTATCAACGACATATTGAAGAGCTTGCTCGTTGAAAGTTTTAGAGATCCTGCTAGGATTGACTGCAACCATCGAATAGTTGCTCCTTCCCTCAGCGTCACGTTCAACAGCGACTTGCATAGTCAAACCACGGTAGAACACAACAGAGACAAGTGACTCAATGGGCATAACTTCGGCAAGCGCGGCAAGTGCAGAGTATTCACCAAGCGAGTGACCGGCGAAGACGGAGTCACGCTGAACCAAGCCTCGGGATCTCATGTCCTCGAATGATGCCTTCTCCATGAGTGTGAGTGCGGGCTGAGTGAATTGGGTGGCGGACAAGAGACCGGTAGGCGAGCGGTAGGTGTAGGAAGTGGTGCTTTCATCAATTTCTTTGAAGATCTTCTCAGACTTAGTAGAACCATCGGCCATGACACTCTCGAAAGTCATTGACATATAGTTCTGTCTGATAGCCTTTCCGCGCGGACCACCAAAGTGAACAGTGAGCTCATTCGGGTTGTTCCTGACGATGTTTGTAATTGAGAATCCTTCGATGAACGTTAGTCAAATTGAGCTTGTGCATATAAATGATTGCCAACATACCATAGTTATCCATAAAGTGCTTGTCAGCTCGTTGCCAAACCTCTCTGGCAACGGGTGAAGAATCATACAGATCCATTCCCATTCCTTGCTCCTGAGAACCTTGTCCAGTGAAGACATATGCTGATACCGGCTGCTCAACCTCTGCCTCTCCGACAATAACCTTCTCCTCTGTCTCCTTGTTGGTCGTTTCAACCCTGATGATCTTCCTACCACTAACCATACCAATGTGGTGTAACTTGGTCTCGATGTCGTCATTCGGCAACACCATCCCGACAAATGAGCAAGAGAAAGACCTGACACGGCCGATATTATTCTCAGCAGCCCATGTCTCAACAAGGGAGCGAACAGCTGCAGATGAGAACATTCCGTGAGTAATTGTTCCCTTGAGGTTGGCATATTTGGAGAAGGTTCTTGAGACGTGGATCGGGTTGAAATCTCCAGAAACTCTTGCATAGGCCTCATTGCTCGCAGGAGCACGGATGATAAGCTGTGTCCCCGCGTTGAGAGGGATGGCGTTTTCAAAGTTGACTGGCTGTTCGATACTTGATCCATGACGTTCCAGGTAATCAATGACTGGGTTTCCGTGGCTCTGACCGGCATCGTAAACCACAGACGCGACCTGGATAATTTCCTTGGTAGGAAGCTCAATCAAAACCTCTCCGACGGTCTCAACAGAGCTAAAGACCTTCTCGCTCTTGAAGCGGATAAAGCTAGAAAGACGGAAAGTGAGAGTCTTGTTGAGGAGTTCAGTCTCCGGCTCATCAAGCTGGAACCATTCCTTGGATTTGAGAACAGCGACATCTTTGCTTGAGGTCAAGGTCACCTGCATAGGGGTCTCGACCTTCCTCTGGAATGTGTTTTCATAGTCGGTGTAAACACCACGGTAAAGGAATTGGGAGATGACTTCCATGACTGGGCGCCCGTCCCTCGAAATCGTTCCACAAACCTCAACCATCTTCCCTGATGGCTGGTTCAAGACAGAGTTGATATGAGCTTTGGTGTCGACAACATCGTCTTTTTGCAACGGCTCAGCACCTGGGAGCATGCGGAAACTGTTTGACAAATGCACAAGTCTAAGGAGGTCTCCGTCGATGGTTCTTGGGAAGATGGCCTTGATGATAGCCTTCCATCCGACGACAATCGCAAAGTCCATGGGGGCATATACAGTTTTTCCGGGTCTCTCCACAAAAGCCTCACCATTGTTGCCAACAGCATGAACAAAGTCAGCGATTGCCTGTCCGGTTACCGTGCTCTGGCCACCCTCAAACACGTCGGTAACAGATGCGTCCAAAGGAACCTTCTCATCACCAAACCAAAGGCGGTAATAAAACTCTTTGATTCTGTCGTTTCTGCCCTCCATGACTTCACGAATAGGGGCATATCCGGTCTCTGGGTGGTATTCGAGCAAAATGGGCAGTCCAACCGACTTTCCGAGGGCAGTTCGCTCCTCATACATGATAAGAGAAATTTCCTTCTTAGCAGTCATTTTCACCTCCATGGTCTTGACATAACGTCCACTGCCTTGGTGTTGTTCCTTGACAGTGATGACAGTCTTTTCCCAGGCATCAACATCGGTAATCTCAACCAGCATGCCATGCGCAGGCGAAAAGATTCGCTTCATCGGGTTGTCCTGGTACTTGTTGCCTTGAACAAACACGGCAGTGGTAAAGAGTGCGTGTCTCCATGAGCGTATGTTTCCCGCAAGCAACTTCAACCACGAGTCCGCATCGGGAAGAGCGCCTTGTGATGGCGAAGAGGATAGCCTATAAGTGACTTTGTTCGCTTCCGTAGAAATGGTCAATCCATCCACCTCCTCAACATCTCCAGCTGCCGTCAATTTCCTGCCACCAAAATACTCAATCACCGGGATAGCTGCTTGGTCTCCGTTGTAGAGATCCTTGGTCAACGAAGCAATGTGGGCATTGTGAACACCGTCCAAAATTTCTTTGATGGGCTCGTTGACGATCATAGAGTACTTTGCAGCCATGGGGCCCTGAAGAATACAAGTTCTGCCAACGTCCTGTCCTACAACTGCTTCAAGATCCTCAGACTGCCAAAGAGAATCTTTCTTGAACCAATATTCGAAATTCTCGTCAAGAGAAGGAACGAATGGTACTGGCTTCTGACCCATCCTCTGGCAAAGTAACAAAAAGTGTTGCATATCTTGAGCATTTATAAGCTGTGTGTTGGCTTCGGGGTAGTGGCTAAGAATGGTTTCAACGGTGGTGAAAGGATCGTCCAAATCGGCATAATTTTGGAGAAGAGAAGGCTGGCCGAGGGCGGTGGTGA